TTTGGATGGTTTTCTTGCTCCTTCTTCTTCTTCCTTAACATACTACCATGGAGTTGGAGTTTTCTTTTCTTTTTCTTGTTGCTGCCGACAGAGAGAGGGAGAGATGGAGAGGAGAAGATGAATGTTGATGATGGTGGATGATGGTGAAGATTATGATGATGATGGTAGTGGTAGGGTGATATTATAGGGAAAAGGAATTGGAGGTATATGGTAGTGGGGTTGGTTTGATTGAGGTTTGGAAGGGATGGGAGTGTCTCTACGTGACTTGGAGGATTTTGGGGAATCAAATTTATTTTCTTACTCCGTAACTGATAAACTGACTAAAACGGTACGCGCTTTTTCGCCCAAACTGTTCCGAATTGAAAACAAATTGTATTTTTGGAATCAGACTGTCAAAACTAGAATTTTGACGTAATCAAAATATTTTTCTGAGAACTTTTATTTTTCTCAGTGTCCGGGTCTGTCTCAGTCATAATTTAATATAATAATATGAATGAGATAAAAATATATGAATTAAATCCAAATGATAAATATGATATTGTCAAGTGTCAAGATTATGATTTCTAATCTGATGAAATCACTTTTGAATTTAGAAAAATGTACCGTTGAATACAAATCAGATTGGTTTATAAAATGTACCGTTGGATTCGTCTTTTCGAGACATATCCATAAATATAACGTTTTAACAAAAAGTCATTATTTTAAAGATCCATTTATTTTTAGTCAAACGTACAAATATTCCTTATTCGATAAAAACTACTTTTGTTTTATAATAAATTTTAGGCCATATTTTGTGGCGTTACATATTATGTCGAACATAGAAACTGGCCATTGCTCGGGCGGCTGCAGGGCCTGGTGAGTGAGGTTAAGACGTGCGCACGAGGGTCTGTGATCTTGGGTTTGAGGCTATCGCCCGAGGGATCCTACCTCCACCGAATTGAGGCTATCTTCGGTATTACGGATTGAGGTTATCTCCGTCATAGGCAATAAATGTTAAGTGGTTTGACTTTCGTGAAAGTCTAAATTGGTTTGACCGATGGTCAAAGAGTTAATGAGGAACCCTTAACACCTAAATCGTTTTGAAAAGAAAGAAAATAGGTTGACCGTTGGTCAACCGTCTAAAGAACCGAATTTAAAGTTGAATTGATTTTTATTAAAAAGGATAAACATATGCGCGATCTTAATTATTGAATTATTATGTCTATTCTTGTGCTACAATGGAGTGCCACTCAAAGTCAATGCTGAGCGGATAGCGTTGTTTTCCTTTTTGCTGTCCGTAGGTGATCAGACAGATGAACCTAGAGCCGATCCCGGAGGGCATTGAGGAGGAGATGTACGATGGCGTGGCTGTCTCTTTAATCTGTAGTTATGCTTTATTTAATTAACTTTAATGCTTATTACGTTTTCGGGCAAGATCCCAAGTTGTTTGACTTTAAAAGGCTTCTGCATTATTTTAAATTACTCCGATGGATTTTTATAAGTATTGATAGAATGTTTGTTTTAAATTGTTTTGAAAATGTTGTATATTCGGATACCAATCCAGTGGCACACCGGTCCGCTGTCTCACGGGTTCGGGTTACGCGGGTTGGGGTGTTACATTTTAGTATCGGAGCATTTGGTTTTAAAATCGGTCTTTGGACCCTTTCAAAATAAAATACAATGAATAATTCAGCCACATCTGCATCTCACGTAACTCCTCTACCCCGGGAAGGTAATAAGTATTTATAGCTTTATCTGTTATATGTTAAGATCTGACCTGGGAATTTCCTTATTATTTTAGAATGAGTCAAGAATCGACCCATGGTCAGTACGTTCCAGAGCCGGAGCATGTGAGCGTGCACACGGTGAACACCGAGGGTTCGAGTTTCACGCCTCCGGGTGACGGAGGGCAGCAACAGAATCAACCTGAGCCAGCGGGACAGCCGCCAGTTGTACCACCCCAAGTCGTACCACCTCCAGTGATGCCACCGTTGGCGATGCCGCAGGTGGCCTACGAGCAGATGTTCCCGGCCATGATGGCCCATTATATGCAGCACATGGCGCAGCTTATGCCCATGTTCCAGCCGCCGACACCACCACAGCCGCAGCCGCGCATCGTTACCTTCAAGACATTGAAGGATAATGGAGCGGAAGAATTTCGAGGAGACAAGATGGGGGAGCCCCAGATTGCGTTGGATTGGCTTGAGCAGATGGACCGGGTACTCAAGAATTTGAGAGTCCCTCATGCAGTTCGCTCGGAGTTGGCGTCACAGATGTTTCGGAAGGGAGCATGTGATTGGCGGAAGCGCATTGACCAGGATCCACACACGCCCAAGCCTTGGACCTGGGATCGCTTTGATCGAGCTTTCACGAAGGAGTAAGTCCCCACCCGGTACCGCGAGGAGAGGCGCGATGAGTTCGTTGCGCTTAAGCAGGAGGGGATGTCACTGCCTGAACTGAGACAGAAGTTCAACTACCTGTCCCAGTATGCGACGAGTCTGGTCTCCACTCCGGAGGATCGTTTGAATGAGTTCGTCAAGAAGCTACGGCCGGACTTGAGGCCGTACGCCGCGCTGATCACGACGACAGATTTTAATGCGGCGTATGATTTGATTGTGAAGACGGAAAAGAGCTTGGACGATTTGCAGGCGACCAAGAAGGAGGATCGAGCGACGAAAGACCCGCGGCCAGCGCCGGGCCGAGCGGGAAGAGTTTTGGATTCGGGGGAAAGAGGTACGAGAAGGGATCTTCGCGTGCGCCGCCGCCTAAGAGGAGTAAGTGAAAGCCATCTCCGTCGGCCGCCGCTAGCAACGCGATCAGAACGAAGAGCCACCCGCAGTGTGTACAGTGTGGTAGGCATCACCCGGGCGAGTGTTGGCTCGCCCAAGGCTTATGTTTGGGTTGTGGTCAGCCAGGGCATTTCAGGAGGCATTGCCCGACAAACTCTAGCAGCGAGCCTGTTTCTCTTAGAGCTCCGGATCAGCCTGCCGCATCGCATCTAGCACGGAGTCAGCAGTCTACAGCCGCAAATAATCAGCAGAGACCACGTCCGCAGCAGACAGGCCGTGCACCAGCGCGTACCTACGCCATGCAGGGGCGCACAGATCCTAATCCTTATGTTATCTTGGGTACGTTCATAATATTTGATTTGGTTATGCATGCCTTGATCGATCCGGGTTCCACGCTCTCCTATATCTGTGTTGACATGCCTGCTAATTCTGCGATCGTGAGGAGTGACCTTGACTATGGATGGCAACATAGCTTAGGCGATCCTGTATCGTACGCAGAAGTAGTGTAAATAGTATCCACAGGCAACAGGCACGTTCCCTTCGTTAAGGGACGTCTAAACTATCTCGATGGTGTGTTCCTCAAACTGTAATAGGAACCATACCTAACCGAGTGGGAGCATAGAGCAGTGGTCGACTGCAGTTGTCGGACCGTATGGCTGAGAGCCGATGACGGTAGCGACGTGTCACTCTCCGGGGAGGTGTTCCCCAAGGCTCCCGAGTTTATATCATCCATGAGTGCGAGGTGCTTGGACATCCCTACAGTTTGCGACTGTAGGGATGTGCGGAAAGAATCACCACGTCAGCAGGACATCCCTACAGTTTGCGACTTCCCCGACGTCTTTCCCGAAGACCTTCCTGGTTTGCCTCCGCTGAGAGAGGTAGAGTTCTCGATCAATCTCGTTCCGGGAGCGGAACCCATATCTGCTACACCGTATCGTATAGCACCTGCCGAGATGAAGGAGTTGAAGGCTCATTTGCAAGAGCTACTGGAAAAGGGATTCATCCGACCTAGCGTTTCCCCATGGGGAGCACCGGTGTTATTTGTTCGAAAGAAGGATGGATCTATGAGACTTTGCATCGACTACAGGCAGTTGAACAAAGCCACAGTGAAGAATCATTATCCGTTGCCTCTCATCGACGACCTGTTCGACCAGCTCAGAGGGGCTACAGTATTCTCGAAGATTGATCTGCGTTCTGGATACCATCAGATTCCTGTTAAGAGAGAAGACATTCCGAAGACTGCTTTTAGGACACGCTATGGGCATTATGAGTTCTCAGTCATGCCTTTCGGATTGACTAATGCCCCGGCAGTGTTCATGGAGCTTATGAACAGTGTGTTCCGACCATACTTAGACCAGTTCGTAGTAGTGTTCATCGATGACATCTTGGTTTATTCACGGACTCAGGAGGAGCATGCAAGACATTTGCAATTGGTTTTGAGTGTGTTGAGGGAGCACAAGCTGTATGCAAAATTGTCCAAGTGTGAATTCTGGTTGAGTGAGGTGACATTCTTAGGACATGTTATCTCTGCCACCAGTATTCAGGTAGACCCCGGGAAGATTTCAGCCATAGTGGATTGGAAGACTCCGCGGAATGTTCGTGAGGTGAGGAGCTTCCTTGGGTTAGCCGGTTACTATCGTCGATTTGTTAAGGGCTTCGCCTCGATCGCTACTCCATTGAACAAGCTACTACGGAAGGACATCAAATTTGAGTGGACAGAAGCGTGCCAGCGCAGTTTTGATCAGCTAAAGGAGTGCCTGACCCAGGAACCAGTCTTGATTCAACCTACTCCTGGCATCGAGTATACCATCTATAGTGACGCATCTCATAGCGGCTTAGGTTGTGTACTGATGTAGTTGGGTAAAGTAGTGGCCTACGCATCGAGACAGTTGAAGACTCACGAGGAGAACTACCCGACACATGATTTAGAGTTGGCAGTCGTGGTGTTTTCCCTGAAGATTTGGCGCCACTACATCTTTGGAGAGAGGATTCACATCTTCACCGATCACAAGAGTTTTAGGTACCTACTCACCTAGAAGGAACTGAATCTTAGACAACATCGATGGTTGGAGCTGATCAAGGATTACGATTTAGTCATTGAGTATCACCCGGGCAAGGCTAACATCGTGGCCGATGCTTTGAGCAGAAAATCGTTAGCCGAGCTACAACTTCAGTCTCCGTTAGAGCAGGAGATCCGTACAGCACAGAGAGATGATGAGTTTTGTCAGAAGACTCGAGAGTTAGTTCCTACAGGAAAGAGGCCCGAGTTTGCAATTCGCGATGGAGTCTTGTACTATCTCGAACGCCTAGTGGTGCCCCGCGGTGGAGTGAGGGATCGCTTGTTGCGCGAGGCTCACGGAACCGTATACACTATGCACCCAGGTAGTAACAAGACGTATCAGGATTTGAAGAAATCCTATTGGTGGCCAGCTATGAAAAAGGAAATCTCCGAGTTCACTGCGCGCTGTTTGACTTGTCAGCAAGTCAAGGCTGAGCACCAGGTTCCGACAAGATTACTGCACCCTCCTACCATTCCGGAGTGGAAGTGGGAAAGGATCACTATGGACTTTGTGATCGGATTGCCACGATCTTCACGAAAGAATGACGCCATCTGGGTCATTGTTGACAGAGTCCGCTCATTTTCTACCCGTCAGACGTGACTCCTCCATGGACAAATTGGCAGACTTATACGTTAGAGAGATAGTTCGGTTGCATGGTGCACCGCTATCAGTCATATCCGATAGAGATCCCCGGTTCACTTCGATGTTCTGGAGAGGACTTCAGAAGGCTTTTGGCACAGCTTTGAACCTTAGTACGGCATTTCACCCTCAGACCGATGGCCAGTTTGAGAGGGTGATACAGATTGTCGAGGATATGATGCGAGCTTGTGTGATCGACTTTGGAGAAGATTAGGAGCGTTACTTGCCGTTGATGGAGTTTGCATATAATAACAGTTACCAGGCGAGTATTCAGATGGCCCCTTATGAGGCACTCTACGACAGAAAGTGCCGAACCCCGATTTGTTGGACAGAGCTTAGCGAGCGTAAGCTCAAGGGACCAAATATTGTGCAGGATACCGAGGAGAAGGTTCGTGTGATCAAGGACTGACTCCGTGCCGCTTCGGACAGACAGAAATCTTATGCAGACTTAAAGAGACGAAACATAGAGTACAGTGTTGGTGACATGGTATTCTTGAAGGTTTCACCTTGGAAGAAGGTCCTACGGTTCGGGAAGAAAGGGAAGCTTAGCCCTAGATTCATTGGACCCTACCGCATTCTGGAGCGAATAGGACCTGTTGCTTACAGGCTAGAGTTGCCACCAGAGTTGAACACGATTCACGACGTCTTTCATGTCTCCATGCTGCGTAGATACCGTTCAGATCCGACTCATGTGTTGCAGACCAATGATGTTACCCTCGATGAGAGTTTGTCTTACGAAGAAGAGCCAGTTAAGATCTTGGCGCGCGAAACTAAAGTACTAAGAAATAAGACGGTACCTTTGGTAAAGGTACTATGGCGTAATCATGCGGTGAAAGAAGCCACCTAGGAGACCAAAAAATCTATGCGAACTCAGTACCCTCATCTCTTCGGCGACCAATGACTCAGGTAATTTCGAGGACGAAATTCTTTTTAAGGGGGGGAGAAATGTAACGCCCCGAAATCTGGCCCAAAAGAATTAATTAAATTCGTTAGATCAATTGATTACGAATTGGGCCTAAAAGGGGGGTTAAAATTATAATTTGGATTCTAAGCCCAACTTTTATGTCATCTCGTAGGAAATATTTTTGTGATCACGTCAGTTCAAACGGCTCGCGAATCGGAGTTATGGAGCTCATGTTATGGCCGTTTAATCAGGTATTTTGGGTGCGGAGCCCAATCCTTCTAGGAATGGGATCATTAAATAAACGTAAAACCCTAATTTCATTTATACGCGTGTACGGTACGGAGACCTTACGCGTCTCATTCCCTTCACCCCTGCCGTTCGACCAAGCTGGCGTCGCGCGAGCCAAACCTCCGCCTCCTCGCCGCACCAGCCAGACTCCCTCAATCGCTGCGCAACCCCACACCACGTCGCCACCCCAGGTTAGCCCTCATCCCATCTCCATCTTCCTCGCAATTTCCTCTGCAATTGGATCTCTGGAGCAGCGCCACGCCGGGTCGCCACCTTCGCCGGCGGTCGCTGCGACTCACCGGACTAATACATCGCCGGTTCGCCACTGTTGTAGCTAGGGACTCCGCCGGACAGAGGCTATCACCGGATCTGCTCCTTTGTTCGTGATTTCTGCGAGCTACTGTTGCCCCGCCACTGTACGCCGGCGCCCGCCAGCGTCGCCGCATCCAGCTACTGCCCCGGGTTGATACCGCCGGCAGATTAATCTCCACGCCAGATTAATTGTTCGATTCCGTGTTTTGACTCAATTTGACCCGTTGTTCGTTCGATTTCGTTGATTTGTCTTCCGTTCGAGCTATCGATTCGATTTCTACGTAATCCAGGTCCGTACTATGAAGTTAATAGCATTTAGAATAGATCTAATGGTTCGGATCGTTATATATGTTTATGCTATAATTTGGCTAAATTGGTTAATTGAATTAAATTGATTATTCGAATTGAATTGTTGAGAATTATGAATTGACTAAACAGGTTTGACTTTGACTTGGGTTAGGTCCTGTTTGACTTAGGCTTTGACTGGATAATTCTGTTGACGTAGGTTTGACCTAATGGTTAAATCAAAGGACTTTAATGATTAATTAAGTTAATTAATTAATTCTAATCAGTAATTAGGATCAATTGGTTTATAATGCCGAACATAGAAACTGGCCATTGCTCGGGCGGCTGCAGGGCCTGGTGAGTGAGGTTAAGATGTGCGCACGAGGGTCTGTGATCTTGGGTTTGAGGCTATCGCCCGAGGGATCCTACCTCCACCGAATTGAGGCTATCTTCGGTATTACGGGTTGAGACTATCTCCGTCATAGGCAATAAATGTTAAGTGGTTTGACTTTCGTGAAAGTCTAAATTGGTTTGACCGGTGGTCAAAGAGTTAATGAGGAACCCTTAACACCTAAATCGTTTTGAAAAGAAAGAAAATAGGTTGACCGTTGGTCAACCGTCTAAAGAACCGAATTTAAAGTTGAATTGATTTTTATTAAAAAGGATAAACATATGCTCGATCTTAATTATTGAATTATTATGTCTATTCTTGTGCAGCAATGGAGCTCCACTCAGCGTCAATGCTGAGCGAATAGCGTTGTTTTCCTTTTT